GAGCTTCCCCTGGGCCCAGGTATGACATACAGCTGTCTCCGTGTGATTTATTCTAATGTGTTGTGAATTCCTCTAGGTTACGGTGAATAAACGAACACGCAAGAAGACCCCACTAAAGGGGGTGTTTACAACACACCCTAACACTTTCAACCATTTTATAATCCATTATATTGATATTTTAAAGACACAGTAGCACATTACAAATGTTGTGTGTATTTGTATGCAGCCCCTTTACTCCAGTACCTTTGAATAAAATCTAGTGCAACCAAATCTTATTATAAATCCAGCTGTTCTGTAAAGGCCTCGGGTTTTTGTTAGAGAACAGTGAACAACACCAACTTAAAGACTAAGGAACAGAACTGACAGGTCATGGAGAACGTTGTGGAGAGGAAAGCAGAGTTGGGGAAAAAAAAAATTCAATCCGTCACTATTCAATCCAACAAGAGAAAATGGCAACAATATGCTACAACTGCATGCCTATGAAGACGTGGTTGTCCACCTAAACTGACAGGATCGGCAAGGGCAGGAGTAATCAGAGAAGAGGCGTGTCGTATATTTGGAGGAGCTACAGAGATCTGCAGCTCAGGTGGGAAAATCTGTTGAGAGGACAACTATTACTTGTGCACCCCACACATCTCTCCCTTATGGAAATATTGCTAGAAGAAAGCCGTTGTTGAAAGAAAGCAGTAAGAAGTCTGATTTGTAGTTTGCATGCAACAAGCCATGCAGGAAATGAAGCAAACATGTGGAATAAGGTACCCTGATCAGATTGGACCAAGACTGATTGGAGATAAACTCCATGTTTATTGCCAGCAGTCATGTGGAGAGAGGTGGGGTACACCCTCCTGGTCAGGAAACCAGACCATCACAGGGCAACAGAGAGACAAACAGGACACACAACCATGCACACACACTTAAACCTTTAGATATAATTTAGAGACAAAAATGAACATAACAGTCATGTTTTGGACTGTTGGAGGAAGCCGGAGCAGAGGGAACAAAAACTCCATGCAGAAAGGCTGGGATTCAAACCCAGGACCTTTTAGCTTCAAGGCAACAGTGTTACCAACTTTTCCACCATGCAGCCCTGAAAAGCAAAGTCTGAAAATGTTAATAGGATATGAATACTTTTGGTAGCTACTGTATAGACGTACTGAATAGACGGCTTGTTGGTTTTCCTTTTCACTTCGACGATTTTTGTGGACAGACCAATACTGCTATTTCTGGATTTGATATAAATTTCCTTCACAAAGATGTACGTCATTACTGGAGCTTCAGAAAGCCACAATTTTATGAGTCATGCAAAGAGAGACCCATACTGCAGGCAAGCAGCCTTGCCATGAGAACATTCATACTGAGGCACTGATCCTACTTCCTCCTCCTGCATGTCTGTTGTATAAATTGTCTCCCAATCTGCCAATTTTGTTTTAGGCTTAGACAGATCATTATGGGTGCTCCCTTACAAAGAATCTGACACGAACCTTGACCAGCCATCTGTCTTGCACAGTCTTGAAAATTATTTTCTGTTCCGTGTAATTGAGATGTGGGCTTAAAAGCTAATTGCTGAGAAAACCAAAACACTCCAAGCTGCATATGTCTCTTTCACTTTAAAGCTGACGTTTGTGCAAAACTCACATCACTACATGCAAGAAACCCCCACACAATATTTCCATAATGTCTTTGGATTTGTGAGACTGACAGAAAGTCACCAAAGGTTTAAAATAATCTTGATATGGATTTACAAAATCCAGCACCTTTGGCACAAAAAAAATCATCAAAGTGCTAAATTTTGATATTGGTTCAGTTGCATACTGTTGCACTGACACAGCCATTTAATCACATTACTGGGCACAGCACTGCAAAACAAAGGTCTGTAAAGCAATAGGAGCTCATGATCTCTCTTTATTTGTACATTTAAATGTTGTGACTGATCACAACTTCCAAAGAAAAAAACAAATGTCTCATTGTGACTGGTTTAAACTTGAAATATGTAGACTATTACAAATATATGCAGAATATCAGCTTACAATGCAGCGATTGCCTTGAGACCTAAAACACTGCAGTCGATAACATCATCAGAAAGACTTGACAGGCCTTCTCCAGAGTGTTAACTGAATATCAATAATACAGGAAGTAGTTTAAGTTCTCCTTCTTGTTGTCTGGTACATACCTTAAGAAAACTGATCTCAGCAGTTCTGCTGTTCTCATAGTGTTGTTGTTTACACGGTAGCATACAGTTTCCGCTATGAAAGTTTGATCCTTGTTGATGCTGCGTAATGAGTCAGACAGCTGCAGCTGAGCCAGAACACTTCTACCCTAATCGTCACTAAAACTAAGAAAGCACGGCACATCACCCCAGTTCTAAAGTCCCTACACTGGCTCCCTGTATCTGGATTGGGACAGTGAAACCGATAATACACCTTGACTGGGACCCTAATCCAATATGCAGCAGTCAGTCAGGACATCTGTACCTTTTGGCTGAAAGCTTTGGAGGCAGTAGATAAATAACTAAAGGATGATGAAACTTTCAGGTCCTCTGTCAGGTCTTTGCTTGATCAGCCGCCCCCAGAGTCTTCACAAGGAGTCAAGTAGACAGCTGCAGCTGATCCAGAATGATGCTGCCCTTGTCCTCACTAAAACTAAGAAAGTAGAGCACATCACCCCAGTTTTAAAGTCCTTACATTGGCTCCCTGTATCTCAGAGAATAGACTTTAATGATTATAAGTCACTGAATGGCTTAGCACCAAAACACTTGTCATTGTATCAACCTTCCAGACCACTCAGGTCTTCTGGTTCAAGTCTACTTTGTTTCCCCAGAATCAGAACCAAACATGGGGAAGCTCAACTAATCTGGAGCAAGGTTACATTTGCTTAGAGTTGCTTTTTAAACCGTTAACTGAAACCTCATTCATTTCAGCCTGTAGTCCAACGTTTCATTACTTTACTTTATCATGCCACTACGGTAAACTTTTTTTCATCATGTAAAGCACGTTGTCTTGTTGCTGAAAAATGCTATACAAATAAACCTGACTTGCTTTTATTATTTAGCTCAGGGGTCTTCAAACCCTGGTCTAAATCTGGACTCAGAGAGAGTTTTGTCTGGACCACAAAGCATTTTCTCATTTACTATGTAGATATTGACATTTTATTCCTGTCGGCTGCCGTGTCTGACTTTTAAAACAGGCAGGACATGCAGCTATGTGGGTCAGCGTCATTATGATCCACACTCCAAACCAGCTGCTGGCGTTAATGCACCACATCTTTGTATGCCAACCACCAGAAAATGACAAAGAAGAAGCTATGCGGGGTCCTTGAACGCGGGTTACTAATGCTCTTTTTCCACTGGCTCTATTTTGGCGGTGCGGCTCTGCTCTACTTGGTCTCTCTCTACTCGGTTTCACTCGACTCTGTATAATAGTTGTTGTGTTTCTACTGACCCATTGACCGCTAGAGCCATGGCGGCTGAAGGTCCGCCTCCAGCTGTCAGCGTGGTGCGCTGTGCTGTGCTCTGAAAATCGCACGTTTAAAGATGAATGGACAAAATCATATTGATATGATATTGGCTGATATTGCCCTGCCTGCCATAAGCACAAGGAGAGCAGAACTGTTCTACCATGCTATACTGACCCAGCTCGACTGTGCCATTCAAAGTGCATTTAATATTGGTTCTTAAATTGGATTGCACTTTTCTGCTCAGCAGAAGATTTCATGGGCATATGAATAATTGATCAGTAGTGAAAAAACAAAAACTAGTGTTAATCAAATGTTTAATAAAAATGAAACAAAATATTTTTGTCAGTTGATTTAAAATGTTCAGACCCCAAAGTGTTTGAATGATGGAGGTAGTGGACCTCTTGCTATTTTACTTGGGGACCCCTGCTTTAGCTCATCATTCAGTCTTTAAATAACATTTATTATCACTTTCATGCAGATGATATTCAGCTGTGTATGCCTCTATAGCCTCATTAGCTGGATGGACTGTCCACCCTCGTCCACTATTTACCTCAGCTTAGTGAATGGCTTTCCAGCAGTTATCTTGTTTTAAACACCAAAAAGACTGAGACCATGATGTCAGGGCTTGCGAGATAGAGGACCCCGGAATGCAGACTAGCAGGCAGCATGACGGTAAGTGCAAAAGGATTTAATAACAAAAAAACTCACTCACAAGGAGAGGCAGGAACAAAACAATAAGTGGACAGGCAAGACAGGCTTGGCATGATCCACAAAACAAGACGTGAGCATGATTTGGCAACAAGACATGATTTGAGAAATGTTTCCACGCCGAATAACTGAACAGGTGTGTATATATGGAGTGTGAAACAGGTGGAGCAAGGAGACAGATTAGCTTGGAGCAGGTGAACCGGATAAGGTTAATTGACAGACAGAACAAAACGTGGCTTGAGCAAAAACAGAGAATCTTGAATACAAAACAAAAACTAAAGCATGACCAGGAAAATAATAAACAGAAGCATGATTCAAAAACTGTGAGAACATAAAAGAAAAAAATAGAAACCAAACACCAAACAACCCCAAATCATAACACATGATTATAGTTCCCCATGCACTATATACAAAAATCAGTCAGGCTCTTGCTTCTTTTTGTCCAACTTCTTAGTCCAGCATTTGAAATCTTGGCATAATATTAAGCTCCTCTCTGGGGTTTTACTCACAGGTAAAATCTTTGTCTCGTTTCTTTCATTTAAGGAACATTTCTAAACTGTGACATTTGGTCTCTTCAGCTGAACTGGAAAGAATAATTCATGCATTTGTGTCATTGCATTTAGATTATTGTAATACCCTGTTTACTGGTTTGGATAAATTGTCTCTTTTACACTTCCCAGCCATACAAAATACTGCAGCCAGGCTACTAACACATTCCAACAAGCGAGCTCACATTACCCCTTTTTTATACTCTCAACATTGGCTACCAATAGATTTTAGGATTCTTTTTAAAATTCTCACACTAACATACAGAGCTCTAAACAGCCAGGCCCCAGATTACTTATCTAATCTGCTTACAAACCGTACTGCTGCTCGCTGTCTACATTCAGAGACTCTGCGCAGCAGACTGAAGACCGAGGCGGACAAAGCCTTCCAGTCTGCGGCACCAAGGCTGTGGACCAGCTTACCTCTACAGCTACTTTTAGTTGACTATGTGGCCTTGTTTAAAAAGCAGTTAAAATCCTTATTGTGTAAACAGGCTTTTGGTTGAATGTTTATTTCCATTGTGTGTTATTTAATCTTTTTTATCAGCACTTAATTTTAATAGTTATGTTATTGGTTTTCTGTACAGCTGCTTTGTGATGAGTTTAATCTGTTAAAGGCTCTTAACAAATAAACTTTACTTACTTACAGTACTTACTTTCATGTACAGCTCCTTTTAAAAACACATATTTCTCATGTTATGGAAAAATTCTTTTCAATGCTCTGAACTTCCCTTACCTCTCTCCCCTCTGACCTCTGTGTTTTGTTACCCTAGAGGAGTTGGTCTGTAAAACCATTATCAGAAGTTTAATGGTTAAAACCCATGCTTTAGGGTGATGTCTCA